TAATAAGTCAATTCCAAATTCGATTCCCAAATACAAATGCGAACGCGAACGAAGACAAAGCCAACCGGCATATCCGATATATTTCAGGTTTTGTTTCTTCTTTATCTCGTTTTATCTCTTTTCATTTGGATTTCTCATCGATGTGTATTGAAGCTGAATTGCGAGTTCACATGAAGCGCGAGCTTAGCTAAAGGATAACTTATAAAGAGCAATATATCAAATTGAGATACAGCGAGAGGGAGATGTGTAATTCTCGATAACTTGTTATCGGTGTGTTATAACTGCATGCACATCACTTACAGTTAAACTGTGAGAGCTTCAGCACATAAGCAAGTAAATCGAGAGTAAGCGTAGAGCACATAAAGAACGTTGAAGATAAAAGATAATGGAGTCCATTAAAAAGTTATCGATAACAACATACATACATATGTATATGTGTTTCATATTATATTCAATTAAAGTTAATAGTAATGATAAATAATAATGACTATACCAAAAATCGATTTTCTAACGCTGTTTATCGATAGCAATTAAAAGTTATCGATGTATTTCATTTAATTTTATACTAAGACTCATGCTTCAACACACTCTAAATAATTAATATATTTTATGAATATTTCATCAGACTTATTGATTATTCATAAATTTTAACAAAACCTATAGATATGAAAAAATTATGGAAAAGTTCTCCAACGACTTTTTTATCCCACACATGCAGATAAAGTAGAAAATCTCAAAATTTTGAATTTATGTTAAACAATTTTTTTTTATGGTTTTTATGACCAACTTAATAGCTGTTCCGTTTCATTTCCATGCCGTTCTGTTTCGCGCCAAGTGCTCTTGACGTATTCACTGTAATTGGCGAGCAATAAAACTAAAAAATAAGAAATGAAAAGATATATACGCAGATATAAGCAAATCCATAATAAAATAAAATACGCATGAGTTGGGATAGAGACAAGCGCAGAGCTATATCTATGTGTATGTATATATGTTTTAGACAAATAGATACTAAAAGATATATAAACAGCAACAACAGCAACAACAACAATAGCAAACACTATTACAACAGAGATTCCCGCCTTGGAGCAATCTGCTCATTAAAAATAAATAAAAAGCGAGACTAAAAAACAATCGAGCATTTTGTTTGTTGAAAAAACAATGTTAAGTCCATAAAGGCAGGCATTTAATATACATATATATGCATATAAAAAGATATAAACGTAAAGTCAGATATGTGTGCATATACATATATGTAAGTATGTATGTGGATGGCTTTATGAGATGTGCAACAACAATTTGAGAGGCGCGACAAATAGAGATTTGTAAATTTCTAAAGCCAACTCGTGAGCGACTGGCCACGCCCTCTACAGAGCATACACAGCCTTTTGTGTGCACGATTTGAGATCGGAGACGCATTATATAGTTTACCAGCAGCCACAGGGAGACAGGGAGATATATAGAGAAAAGAAGCAAATTGTATTTGATTTATTTCGTTCGCGGCCAAAAATAAAAAACGCAAACACACACAAAAAAAAAAAAAAATCCAAAGAAAAAAGCGAGAAAAAAATGTTAAAAATTATTTTTGGCATTTATATTTATATTATTAATTTGAGCTGCGCGTGTTGAGGTAGTTATTGCTGTTGTTGTTCTTGTTGCTGTTGTTGTTGTTGTTTTTTTCATTCACAGTGATTCACTTATTAAACGCTGCCATTTATTATTATTATTTATATTTCGAGCGTTTATGTAATGCCTCGCTTTTCAACAAATTTTTCAACACAATGCCTGGCTCTGCCTTCAATCCCTTCCCCCTTCCTTCCTCCCTTCCCCACACTCCCTTCAGTTTTTTTTTGTTTTGTTTATAATTAAGCACAAAAAAAAGCGTATTTCTTAATTATTTATTTTATTATTGTTTATTTTTAAATGGGCTACAGACAATTTCCTGCACTTGAAGCGAAACAAATAAAAATGACGCAGCCTTTTGTTGTTGTTGTTGTTGTTGCTTCCACAACCTTGTTGCTGTGTGTATACATATATATATATGCTTATAATTTATATAGATATGTGCACATAATATTTAGATTCACAAATCTTTATTGAAATGCAAACATCAGCTAATGCTATATCAGCCATATATTTCGCTTTTGAGAAAAATGATTTTTATGGCTCGGCAAAAGGCAATTTTTATTTAATTACTCAGCACAAAAGCTCAAAAACAAAAAATCATAAAACAAAAACGAATTTAAAATGAATCCGAGTTGTTTATGGGCATTATTTAAACAGCTTTTCTATGAATTCAAATCATAATGGGTATCATTGAGTTGAATGGACTTGCTGTGGGGCGAGTCGACGAGCCTAAGCTAAAGCTGATGCTGTATATAAGATTTTGTGTGAAATGTTCTTCTAGAGATCCTTAAAGAAAATGATACTAGTTTGCTTTGGGGCTACAAATTCTATTTTAACTCCCAGAGCGATCCTATCAAAGATATGCATTAGCTCCCATCTACTTCAATGCACTCAAACTTCTGTTTTGTTGTCTAGTTTAGTCTGTGCTGAGCTGCATGCACAAGTCAAAGCCAAAGCAAAGGCCCTTTACCAAATGGCTAATTGGCTGCGGCTCTAATGCAAATTTAATTCGTGTGTATTTGTAATTATTTTAGAAATCCGTGCAGCAAATCAAAGAGAAAGCGACAGAGACAGATAGAGAGACAATATGCAAGGATTTACAATACATAGACACGAGTGTGTGTGAGTGTGCGTGTGTGTGTGTGTATTAATTAGCTTAAGCAAAGCGCGCGAGCGCAACATTTGCATGACCAAATCAATACTAAGCTGACCACATAGATATCCATATATACTTGTATATATCTATATATAATATATTTAACTACATATATATATAGTTATATATACATGGTCTTACTTATAGCTACAACTGACAGAGCAGCTGATGCTCTGATGCGTGTGTCTATATAAATGATGCAGCAGTTGCTGGCTTGTGCACTTTAATGAGCTACGCATTCACACACGCACACACACACACCCACACAGTTGTGCGTCTATACTATGTGTGTGTGTGTGTGTGTGGCAGCTCAGCTATTGCATTCATTTAGGCGCAACTGCCTACGAAAAACAATCAAATATGCATTTTAAAACTCGACTAGAAGTGCGCTCCCCCATGGCCTGCACCTCAAACAGTCGCTGCAGCAGACCAACCATATTTGTCTAACCTCGTCGCTCCACACACACACACACACACACACATACAGCTACACACTCACTCACACCTGCATACACGTTTGCTAGCGTGTCCAGGTGCGCGCCTCTATTTGCCCAGAGCCCGAGTGCATGCTGCGCTCTGTTTTAGAGCTAGCTTTTGCCCTCTCCACCTTGCTCTCTCTCTCTCTCTCTCTTAGTCCCCCCATCTCGCTCGAGCTCTCTTTCTCTCTATGCTATTCAAAAAATTTAATGGCATTTTAAATAAGAAATTACAGAGGCTGTGCATATTTCATAAGATTTTCGTATGGGCACCGGCAAAATGTTCGACGTGGCGGCTGAGAGTTCGACTCGCCGCTGCCTCGCCTCACCTGGACGACGTCAGTCTAACATGCAGCGCCGAGGCGCGGGGCGACCTCCCAAAGGTATCAAATACAACTCAAACTGAAAACTGAAAACAGAAACTGAAATAGAAACTAAAAAAAAAAAGGACAGAAAATAAAAGCGAATAAAATAGAAATAAAAATGTGAACGCGCCCGCTAGAGTCCCCGACTGGCTAAAGAAATGCATACCATGACTATAAAATACTCTATGTATAACAGTTGGATTGCAGTTTTTGGCCTACAGCAGAGACAACTACACTGCCAGAAATAGTTGAGTAAAGTGTTTGAAGTGGGGACAAATGTGAAAAGCGAAAGTTTCCAAGTTTCGTAAACTTAAATCAATAATTTGTAAGTCAAAAAACTAACGAAAAATAAGTTCCAATTATGTCAAGGTAATACACTGTGAGAAACAAGTGATAAGCACTAAAAAAAGAAAAGATAAATAAATAAAAATATAAAAATAAAATAAAAATATATTTATCTTTTACTATGAATAAGTTTTTACCTTACAAAAATTATAGAATTAAATTCGGAGAGTATTATTTTATATTATTATTGGTGAAAAAAAAATCGTAAAAAATTATAAAGCAAACTTCAAAGCCTATATCAACTCCAACTTAACTAAAGTCACCAAGTCACATTGTTTTATATTTAGTACATATAATTTCTCTCAGTGCATCAGCTCAGATAGAAAGAAAGCACTAGCATAGAAATATTAACGCTCGAATGTGTTAGCTGTAATTCTTGTTTTATACAGCACGGAGCATGGAATGGCATAGGCGTTAGCTTGGGGTTTGAGTTGGAGTTAGTTGTGGGATGGGCGGGAGCTCGACTTTTTTCTTCATTCTTATATGTAGATAGAGAGGGAGGGGGGGGGGGAGTTGGGTAAGGGAAGGTGCAGCAAAGTTGTGTTACCTTTTTGCATAGCATTGGATTTTGCTAAGTAACATAGCGGCATTCATTTAATATTTATGTCTCTCTAAATATTAAATATTATTTCAAGGCTTTATGCGACTGCACATACAGAGACTGTACCAGTGTGTATATGCGAGTGTGTGTGTGTGTGTCACTGTGTGTTGGGTGTGCGTGTGTATGGCCAATATATGTGTGCATGCAGTTTTTGTGTGCTGCTTTTGAAGGGGCTTTAGCCGCTTCGATTGGCCGTTGCGCCTGTAGGCAGGCGTTCTCAAATATGCATTAGCTATACGTGTCTGTGTGGGTGAGTGAGTGTGTGTGTGTGAGTGTGTGTGTGTGAGTGTGTGTGTGCGTGAGATTACGTCTAAATGGCATAGCATACATTTGTGCGCTTGACCGAAATGCAGCCGCTCCTGCTGTGGCATTTCGCCTTTGTCTTTGTTTCGTGTCTTGGTATTTGCTTAGCCGCTCGCTTATTCACACACACACACACACACACACACACTTATATATATGTATATGTCTATAGATGCATGCATATATTTATATGCCCGTTAGGACAGGCCACGCTGCGTTTTTGTTTCTTTTTTTCCTAGCTTCTTCTATTATTTAAACTTGTGAGATTTGAGAGCGAGCTAATGAAGGCGTTGCAGAGCATATAGAAAAGTGGGCGAGCCATTTCTATATAATTCTTTATTTCTTTGTGCTTTGTGCTAGCTGGTACTTACATATTGAATTAATATTTAATGACTGTGTGCTGGCGTTTTAACACTTTGTAGACAGCTCATCAACTCGACCACTCACTAGCTTGCTCTCTCTCTCCCACTCCTCCTCTCTGGTGCTCTCGTTCTCGTTCTCGTTCTGTCTTGCTGTCTCGTGCTCTCTCACTCACGCTTTTCAATCAGCTGAAAGGACACGCAAGGCTGTGGCCATTAAAATAACAAACAATGTGTAAGCTTTAAGCGTGGGCCCTGCCAAGCAGCTTGACTGTCGGGCCATATATCCTCATTATCCTGCATGCTAAAAACAATAAATTACTATTTGCAAAAGGTTAATTTTTACTTCGAAACAATGGGAACGAGGGCGAGAAACAGCTAGCCAGCGTTCGGGTGGATGGGTAAGTAATGTGGCTAACAAAAAATTACATGAGCAAAAAAAAAAAAAAACAGTTGAGCAAAAAGTTGCAATTACCAACAATAACAACAACAACAACAATAAAGTAAATAACATCAGGCAACAGCTACAATAACAACTTGTATAATAAACTGCAACACATTGCAACATTGCAATGTTGCAAGTCCTGCCCTTAGAGATGGCAACGTGAGTGCCATGGAAATGGACTAGGATATGGGATGTATGGGATAGAGATGTAATATATGAAATAGAAGACGCCAGTTAACAGATATCAGAGCTGAGATATGAGATATAAGACATGAGTTATGAAATATCAGATATGAGATCAGAGATATAAGATATGAGCTACAGCAATGAGCTATATACAATATTTGTGACATATAATCTCTCAGAGATATACCAGCCGTATTCCAGGTATTACCTCACATTTCTTCAACCCGACATTTAAGTACTCTACCTTAGCTATATATAGTTCCAAGCAGGATCCCCCTCATCCATTTCAAAAACCTGTTTTCACGCTCTCATCGCTAACTGCAACGCAAACATTTCTCAACTATTATTCCCTTTAGCCCTTGAGTTCGAGTGCGAGTTCCTTTAGCGAAGGGTTCGCAGCTTGACTTGCAAAAGGGTTTCCATGTCGAGGTATTTATATATACGTATATATAAACATATATATTTTATTTATTTTATTTTTTTTTTGGGCTTGGCCCTGTGTAAGCTGCCCCATTTGAATGTTTTATTGTAATTTGAGTTGTTTGGTTGTTCGGTTTTGTCGGCTGCTGGTTAGCTAGCAACAACAACAACAACAACACCTGCCACACCTCAATGCGCGCTCCACTCAACACTTGCTGTATAATTATTTATTGCATTTAAATTATTGTTGCATGGTGTTCTTGTTGTTGCTGTTGCTGTTGTTGTTGTAGCAAACAAAATGAAACGAAACTTTCATTGCGAGTGCTACGAGACAGAAGTGAAGTGTGTGTGTGCGTGTGTGTGTGTGTGTGTGTGTAGGAGCTGCATGCACTCGCACTTGATTTTATGATTACTACAATTATTGTTGCCATTGTAGTTGCTCTGGTGTTATTGTTGTTGTTGCAACAATTGTTGTTGCCGCTGCATTAACTGCTGACACATTGCGTTCAAGTCCAGCTCCTTTCGCAGAAATTGCCACTGCAATTGTTTTCTGCCGTCTTCTCTGGCATTTCCATACAAGAAATAACATATTTATATATGTATATAACGATATATATATAGATATATATACATATATATATATTTGTATATAGAGTGAGTTGGCGCATACAACGCACCTACAAAATATATTGTATTTCCCTCTGGCAGCTCCTTCTTTTGCGGCTTCGCCCTCAGCGCGAAATGTGTTTTTCACATTATTTCATGAATAATGCATTTGGCTAATATGCATATTTTATGTGAAATTCGTGCAATAAAATACTATTAAATATTTAGTTGTTGGCAACGCCAACTGCTGTTGCTGCTGTTACTGCTGCTGCTGTTGCTGCCACTGCCACCAGCGTGGCCTCTGCTACCACCAAGAAGTAGCTCCAACGTTAAGCAAAGCAGTTGCATACCTACCTAAAGATGAGCTCGAGCGGTGTTTTGTCTTTGGTCAACAGCTGTTCGAACTGAGAGAAGATTTCAGATAAGAGTTACAATAGGAACTAATCGATAGAGAAGTGGTTTGAACGGTAAGAAAAAGAATCGATATCTAGAGAGTTTGCGTGAGATAAAGAACAAGTTTTTATAAATATATATAGATGGATAGATAGACACACTGTAGTATAGATAGATTAGTAATCTATAGATCATAGATAGATAGTTTATAGATAAAGAACTCCACAGTGAAATAGGTAATTGGATGGTAAGATAGAAAGATAGATAAACAGAGATAGAGAAACTTATAGAAAATTAATAGTAGTTCCTCTTAACGAAAATCAAACTATTTATCATAAATCTTTGCAAAGCCCCTAAAGCCACTTAAGCTCTTCAAGCAAGTTTTTTATTTCTTTTTTTCTTATTAATAATTAATTATATTTTTCATATTGAACTAAGTTTACTCTCTATTTAAAAATATTGATTGACTAAAATAGATGCCCAAGTTCCCAAAGACTTCCATTCCATTTCTCTCTGCTTTACATAAAAGTTCAATTAACATCATATTGATTTTGAGGCATTCATGGTTTTTATAGCTATTTGGCCCACTGTGCGATGACTGTGTGGTGCGACAAGTTGAAGCACTTTAGAGCGAACTAGGAAGTAAGGTCCTTGAGGATGTTGGGGACTTTGTCGCGTATGCGCAGGCAGAGGAGTTGCCATTTCAATTAATTATTTATTATGCCAAGCATTGCTTCTTATAAAATTAATGAATGGCATGAGCGCAAAAACTATAAAACCGGGCGCGGATAAAAGACGCGACGGTCGGGCGCGAGCGAGACGGAGAGCGAGAACAGGAGACAGACAACTTGCAGAGATGGGCTGGGGGACAGCCGAATGTGGGGGGGCGTGTGCGTGCGGTTGGTTGAGTAATATAAATAAATGAATGAATGAATGAGCGTCGAAAGCAGCAGCAAAGGCAGAGGCAGCGGCGGCAGAGGCAGCGGCAGCAGTGGCAGCGATATGGGCATGGGGAGCAGGAGGCATATCTTAGTATTTAGTAGTTGGCAGTAGTAGTGAAGGCTAAGAAGCAGCAGGCGCACAGCAAACGCAGCCAGAGCCAAAAAAGGAAGCTCAAGAAATGGCCAAGAGCAAAAGGCAAAGCAGGTGGTGCAAACGGGAGAGAGAGTGAGAGAGAGAGAGAGAGAGTGAGAGCGAGAGAATGCGAGTGTGTTGGTGCGGATTGTGGTTGCAGACAAGAGAAATAACAAACTTGAGACGCCGCTGTCGCTGCTGGCGTCGCGGCTGGCGTCGCTGCAGCAGTAAAAGCACGAATCGAAAATGAATAATAAATAAAGTGTTATATAATATAAGAAATATAGTCTGCCAGCTGGTGAGAGAGGAGGAGAGAAGCGAAAAGGGAAGGCTGTGTGAGGGTGTGTGTGTGTGTGTGCGTGCGGCAAGAGGAAGCAACAAACTACAGAGAAAAGTTCTAAGGCAACAAATAAGGCACAAGCGAAGGAGAGAGGAGAGCGGAGATCGGAGAGGGAAGAGAAGACACCGCGACGCGTCTGTAGTTTATAGTGTAAACCCTTCCACCCACCCCGCCCACAATTGCTATTGCCATTGCTATTGCTATTGCTATCTGTGATGTATGAAGGGCTGAGGGGGCGGGCGTCAGTGGCTGGCTGACTGGCTCTGGGTTTTCGGGGGCTGGTGTTGAGTTTATGTGCTCGCTTGAAAAATAAAATTAAAATTGCATTAGGAATCCAACGGGTTTTTATGGCCGCGCGGTTGGGGCGTGGCAGACGTTGCTTGAAGGCTGTTGAAAGACGTGTGTGCGTGTGTGTGTGTGTGTGTGTATTAGTTAGGATTAAGTGCAAGGGCAGGCAGTTGGATTGATATGCCCTATCTATATATGCCATACATATATACATATAAATATATAACTTTGCCAAAATCAATAAAAATGAACGTAGGAAAATCTAATAAGAAATAATAATTTCTTTTTATAGAAATTTTGTAGCGCATAAAGTTAATTAAATAAATTATTATGTGAATGGGGCGTGTGCACACGATGAGTAATTGGCAAGAACAAGAAGACGATGAGCCGCAGCAGCAGCAGCAGCAGCAGTGCTGACAACGCGACGTCGACGTCAGCGGCGGCAGCGAAGCGCCGCAAATTAAATTAAATGAGTTGAAAGAAAGTTGAATGCGCGCACGCTTCAAAATCGTTGTTGTTTTATGCTATAGCTTCTGTTGTTGTTGTTGTTGTTGCTGCTGCTGCTGCTGGCGGGAAATTGAAAATTTAATTAATTAAACATTTTTGAGCACAGCAGCAGCAGAGCAGCAGCAGCAGCAGCAGCAGCAGCGGCAGCGGCAGCAGCTATTTTTTATTATATTGTATGTCGTATGTATTGTGCCGAGGCGAGTCTTATAATTGTTAGACGTGACTTGGCTACGTGAAGGGGGAGGGGGTGGGGGTAATGAATGTTTAGATAGATATGGAATGGGTATGTTGGGATGGGGTTACATAGCTAGCAAGCGGGAGGAGGGGGTGGGATGGGTTAAAAGGTCGTCATAATGCATTGGCAAAATGACTGGCAAAACGAATAATGTAGCAATGACTAATGGCTGCCCTCGTTGTAAGCAATTATATTGAATTGATATGTGAGTCTTGGAGGAGCTAGTGTGAATAATTCCAATTGTCTTGCATATGCCATCAAAGTACACTTCGTTACAAACAGTTAAATAGTTAGTTATTTATTAAATTGTATCAAGCAATTAGAACTTAATGGTCAAGGCAGCTGTTAAGAGTTTCCAGCAGAAATAGTTGTGGGTATGTCAAATATACATATATATACAGAGTATTGTATTGAATTTTTGTATTGTCATTATCATTAGCATTTTTCTTAATCATTGACTGTGTCATTATGATTATATTTATCAGTTTCTGTACTATTTCTATCATATTAATTATCATTATCATTATCATCAAAATGCATTGCCACTGGGATCATCATTAGCAATATAATTGCTTATATACATCCCCATAATGTCCACCTTATGTACTCTCTATAAAGCTAGCATAAAAGGCAACATATTACGGCTCCTTAGCTTTCTCTCTTTCTCTCTCTCTCTCTCTCAGCCTTTCAAGCATTGCAAAATATGAAATATGAAATGCATTCACATTTATTCATTCCGCAAGCGATCTCTCAGCTCTTTTGTGCATGGAGAGTATGCCTAGTTAGCTTCGTAGCCATATAGCTGCCATGTCAGAGCCTAATTACGTGTTTTACATAACTCCCGACAATTTTTGCTACTGGCTCCGGCCAATTCTCATTAAAAGTAGAGCAACAACAACAAAAACAACAACAAGTTAGGCCAACTGCCCTGACGCTTTGCCATTAACAAAATGCTTAACATAAAAAAGCATTTTTAACGCCATTTTGTAGCGTGGCTATGGGGCCTCTGTGGGGGGCAGCAGCAGCGGCGCGATGTGCCGCTTCGGCTAGTGTAGAATAGCAAAAAGAAACAAGTGAAAAAAATTCTACTGACTTTTCAATTTCAATTATTCATACATTTTATGACCTTTTTCCTTAACATGCTGAGGCTAACAGTCTAACAAATCCAATCCAAACATGGCCCAAAACCCGTTTCAAATATTTAAGACTTGCACTTCCACACACACACACACACACATACACTTATATAGATATATTTATATATATATCTATATACATATAGATGCGCATTAGTATATGCTGTTTTTGTTGTTGTTGCACATAATTTGTACGGCTCTCGCCTGTTGGCCATATAAAATGCATGGCTCTGTGCAGTTGGGCCAACGCTGACGAGCCTCGTATAAAAGAAGAAAAAAAAAAAATGGGCGGCGCTACGGCCTGGTCAGCATTGGCCAATGCATCCTGTGGCAGGTGCAACTCTTTCGTTTTTTCTAATCGAGAAATTAACTACGGCTTTGCCTTTATTAATGCAACAATCGACCTTTTTTTGGAGTTTTTAATAAATATTAAGAGCTGTTGTAACTGTCTGTGGCTCTGAATTACATTTGATGATGATTTATTTAAATTTTTGCTTCAGCTCAATAATTGATTAAATTATTGCCTTATCTGAAAGTATAATTTTTTGGCATTTGCCAACTGAGGCTACACTCAGCGAAAGTTTCAACAACAGCGAGCGTAAGGTAAAAGGAAGTTCTTTGTGAGCGACTTCCTCTACTGTCCCATTGATTAATTTTGGCTTGAGTGTAGTTCAGATAGAGTCATAGCGGATGGCATCAAACTGGCTGAGAGAGGGAGGTATACATATCTAATAATAGCAATAAATAAATAGCTGTTGTTGCTGTGGGGGGGCCATAAAAGTGCTGAAGACAAAAGCGGCAGCAAATCGTTGTGCGCTAGCCAAGTTTGTATACTAATTCGCATTGGCGTTTGCATACCAAAGCGCTTTGGGCCCAACATTTATGGCATTAATAAACTTTTATGGCCAACATTTTCGCAAGTCGCTGCTCTGCGGTCGCTGGCTTTGTCACACACCACACACACAGCACACAGCACACACCACAGTGAACTATACTGGCAATGTAAACCTTTGAACAAGTAAACGACAATTTAGCTTATCTTCCGCTTTTCCTTTATTCCATTGCAGGCCAAAATGATTGAGACCAGCGGACATGCCTGGATGGGTGCACCGGCAACAGGCGCATCTGTGGCGGGTGAGTTAAAGACAGTCAGAGAGAGAGAGAGAGAGAGAGAGAGAGAGAGAGAGAGAGAGAGAGTGAAAGAGCTGCCTTCGTGCAAAACAATTAGCATAGAGTCCGGAACAGGACAACTAAGTTTTTGTACCTGTTTTTTTTTTTCGCTTTTCTCCAGCAGACAGCTATCAATATCAGTTGCAGTCCATGTGGCAAAAGTGCTGGAACACTAACCAACAGAATCTGGTGCAACAGCTGCGCTTTCGTGAGCGCGGCCCACTCAAGTCCTGGCGCCCGGAAGCCATGGCCGAGGCCATATTTAGCGTCCTAAAGGAGGGCCTCTCACTCTCGCAAGCCGCTCGCAAATACGACATACCCTATCCGACGTTCGTCCTCTATGCGAACCGTGTGCACAATATGCTGGGACCCTCCCTCGACGGCGGCAGCGATCCACGGCCCAAGGCCCGCGGCCGACCCCAACGCATTCTGCTTGGCATGTGGCCCGACGAGCTCATACGCAGCGTCATCAAGGCCGTCGTCTTTCGTGACTATCGCGAAATCAAGGAGGACATTAACGCACATCCCTATGCCAATGGCCAGCCGCATGGTGTAAGTAGAAATTTATGAAATATTTCAAATACACGCATGTACATGATGTGATGTATGATGTATGTATAGATCATTTTATAAATAAATACAATATACAAATAATTTAATTTAAAGAGATAAAGCTATGCATTTAAGGAAAATTTTAGAAAGTGCACGAATTCTATTTCAAATCAAGCAAACAATGAAATTTCTATTTCTTCTTTACCTAAGTTTCTATAAAAATACTTCAGACAATATCTGGAACATGATAATATATTTTTCATTCTATTGGAAGATTTAAATATATGCGATATATTTATATAATAATGAGATTTTTGTCAGATAATAGATAATATTTCGAATATGATAACACATAGTTGGATAGAGATATATTTTTAGACTCAGATAATAAACAATATGTCGAATGGAATAACATATTTTTCAATCTCTAAGACTAGTTCAATAAATTAAATTTTGTATATTTTTAGACTCTCGAATATGATAATGGATATTTCATTTTTTCAAAACACTGCAGTAAATGGGATATATTTTTTTAGTCCCAGACTAAGAAACACGTTGTAAATAAAACTAAATTTCTTTACAGAAAACCTCAGCTAGAACTTTAATAAACCCCTTTTCGAGCTAGATATTTTGAATGACAAAAGCAGTTTTATTACAACATATTGGTTTTCATTCCCATGACAGTTATCAGCCCTATTAAAATCGACTCTATATATATATACTCACGGCTATTGTGAAACAAATTTCAGTAAAATATCATTAGTAAAGTCTTCAAGTTAAACGTCTAGTTTGCATAAAAACAAATAATCAAATATATACGCATAAATATAGTTTGCTAAACGTGGAGATAAAACCAGATAAGATAGAAAGTTCAAATATTAATAAATAGTATTATTGAAAACTCGTTTAAAAGCCATCAACACGTATTTAATAAACACATTTAGAAACACGCACAGTTTAGCTATCGATATTTATATAAACTCAATATTTTCGCTAACGATATTTATGCCAACTTCAATCGATCTTAACGCACTGTCTTCCCCATCTTTTCTTCTCCCCCTTCTCTACATCTACCCGTAGGCCCACTACGGCAGCAACTCGGCAGCTGCTGCCAATGGCTATCACAGCGCAACAGTCAAAATGGCGCCGCCCGACGCCAGCAATCCGCTGAGCACCATGACAGAGACGCTACGCCGACAGATACTCTCCCAACAGCAGCAGCAGCAGCAGCAACAGCAGCAGCAGCAACACCAACAACATCAGCAACAATCGCCGCATATGCAGTCGATGAACATGTACAAGTCGCCGGCCTACTTGCAGCGTTCCGAGATCGAGGATCAGGTGTCAGCGGCAGCGGCTGTGGCCGCCGCCAAGCACCAGCAGAACGAGCGACGTGGATCGGAAAATCTGCCCGATCTGAGCGCATTGGGTCTGATGGGTTTGCCTGGCCTGAACGTGATGCCCACGCAACAGCAGCCGGGCGGTCATCAGCGCGGCGGTCCGGGCAGCGGCGGCGCTGCTGCCGGCGGCCTGCATCCCAACGCGGCCAGCTATGCCCGTGAGCTGTCGCGTGAGCGAGAGCGCGAACGAGAGCGGGAGCGCGAGATGTCGCGCGACCGCGAGCTGAAGGAGGCAATGCACGCACGGCAGTACGGCAATCAGTCGCGCGGCTCGAACTCGTCGGCGGGCAGCAAGTCGGCGGCATCAAGTCGTCCCGGTGCCGCCGCCTCGCCCTACTCCGCGCACTATGCCAAGCACGCCAAGGAGCATCCCAGCTATGCGTACAACAAGCGCTTTCTCGAGAGTCTGCCGGCGGGCATAGATTTCGAGGCGATTGCGAACGGTCTGCTCCAGAAGTCGGTGAACAAGAGTCCGCGCTTCGAGGACTTCTTTCCCGGCCAGGATATGAGCGAACTGTTCGGCAGTGCCGATGCCAGCGCCGGCTCTGGCGCTGGCTCAGCGGCAGCAGCAGCAGCCGCCGCCGCAGCAGCGGCCGCCTATGCGCCGCCGGGCATGCGTGAGTCGCCGTTGATGAAAATCAAATTGGAGCAGCAACAGGCCGCTGAGCTGCCGCACGAGGATTGAGTGGAGAAGTTGCGGCCAGGCCGCTGGGTTGGCGCTTTTGAAGAGGCCAACCCTAATCAATTTGGACTGCTATTTTAAAATGCCCCCTCAAAATAAAAAAAAGAAGTGAAAAAGAAAAAAAAAACACAGCCCCCACCCCCAACTAATGTTTAGGTTACTTTAACGAGGTTCCAAAGGCCGAGTTTTTGAAAAATGCTTGCAACATAGGCTTAAGGCACTAGATTAATACAACGGTACGAGTATTAACGTTACCCCACCACCAGCCCCCAACACACACACACACATGCACTTCAGAACTTTCCTGTAAGGATAAGATCTCGCCTATTATTTATTTATGCATTTCGTATGCGCCTTAATTTCTTTGCTACTATGAGAAGAAGATGAAGAAATAAAACAGTTAATACAATTTTATAATATTTAAATATATATATTACAATAAATATATATGAGTATATACATATATATACATACTTGCTACAATTAACAGTTACAATTAGAGACTTGTGCATTTCTTAAATGTAGTTTAGAATTTAGTTTAGCTACACACACAAATACACATACACACACACCCACACACCCTCATAAATATTCATATTAAGCATACGCAATGTTGTCTTTCAAGTAATTAGATTATAGAACATATAATATATATACACACACACACACACACAAGCAGCAATTGTATTTCCAAATGTAAATGTAAATAATGTACAAATTTCCATAGCTATAGGGTATATACAAACAGTAACGGACTTAGTCTTAGGCGCGCACAACTTTTCTCTATATTGTAATAATCCCCCGAAAATTAATTAAAGTAAATAAAGCAAAGTCCCCAATAGATATTTACATAATTATAAATACATATATATAGATATTATAGATATGAGTATGCGTATGGTATGTGTACTAATTTTATGTAATACAAACACACACACACAGGCACACCAAATCCCAGTGAACGGACACACACACACACGCAGCTATTTAAATGCATATGTATTTGTAAGATGTTCTTAATGAGTGAATTATCCAATAACAGATAATGAGCAGAATGCATAATTCATTATTATTATTATTACTATTATTAATTATTATAAATATTATTATTATTATTATTATTTTAGTTAAACCTAAATTATATACAACTGAAACAGAAATAAAAGTGAAGAAGTAAATGTAAAAAATAATCCATTTAAAACTGTGATTTTATTTGCTTGGCTGGGAATGGGAAGGAATTGAAAATGTATGGAATGGGAGAGGGTATTCGCTACTTATATAAACTACATACAAAACCGATGAGCAACTTTGATAATTCATTAATGATGAATGATCCATCTAATGAGGCACCTTAGCTCTAACAGAGATAGACAGTTTGGTTTTGAACAAATATTATTAAAGATTAAACATACATGGATTCAAAAAGTCAGAGATATCTGCTTTTGCACTGAATACAGATTAGCTTAACTCAGTTATAGTTAATTTTCGTCCATAAGAAATGAAATAAGTTTGTTATAATGATGATTTTAATGAGATGAGAAGTCATCTATAACTGGGTGTAACACAATATAACTGATTAAAATAAGAAAGTTCTTGGAAAGGCAAAATATTAATGTGAGATATAAATGACAATGAGATAGAGCGAGATAAATAGGGAGAGAGAGATAGAGATTGCGAGAGAGAGAGGTATTTCGAGGGAGAGAGAGAGAGAGATTGAGAGAATGAGAGTGATAGACAAAGCGCTACAAAAGAGAGAGAGAGAGAAAGATAAACAGTGAGTGGCAAAGAGAGAGAGAAAGAAAGATAGACAGAGAAGCTGATAGACAGAGTTATATTGAAAGAAAGATAGAGAAAGACAGAGAGACATACCGAGATAGATAGAGAGATACAGACACATAAGGAGAGGAAATATGAAATAGTTAGAAAGAGAGAGATGGGGAAGCGAGAGGGAAGGATATTGGGACAGGGTTAGTCCCTGAGAGTAACAAGAAGTTAAGAGTGTCAGGAAAAGAGAGAGAATAAGAGAGAAAGATGATTAGAAAGAGTGAAACAGTACGATGCAAAGAAAGACAGAGACAAAATTGGAGCTTTAATAGAATGTTATCCCTAGCTCCCTAGTCATTAGAGTTGACTACTAAGGAAGTTTGAGCTTGATACCAAGAAATTTAAAGAAAGGCAAATAGTGAGCGAGCATATAACTCTCTCTCTCTCATCCACAAACCCAGTACAACCAGTAAGAGAGGAAGAAGAAGCAACATGATAGTTGAGGTGCAACATAATATAGTGATTTATCAAAAGAGATAGCGAGATAGCGCGCTCTAGTCACACAGCTAGCAAATTATATGAACTGCCAAGTTAATAAGCATTCTGGCCAACTGTTGCTGCCAAAGTTAAAAATTTACCAAAATGAAAAGCAACAGGCAGCAGCTGGAGCAACAAACAAGTTAAACAGCTGCCAACAGGCGCCGCCCAACATTCAAGGTCAAGTGCCAAGTGAAAGGGATGTCAAAGTTGTTGTTGTTGTTGTTGTTGCTGGCGTTGATGGTGAAAGAAAACACTTACTTTGGCACTTAACAGCTTAACACATCAGTTTACACGAATGCAAAACTCGACTACAGCAGCAGTTGCTGTTGCAGCTACCAAAGGGGGAGTGGCCAGAGTCTAACCGAAAGCCAAGGGCCAAGAGCGAAAGCCAAAGCAAAGCGGGCGCTTAGCCAACTCGAAAGGGGATGCTGAAGATAGAGCCATAGAGAGAGAGAGAGACGACCCTCAGCGTGTGCTCTGCCGTCATGACAAACGTTCAACTGTAATGCTCAAGGTCATTTGGGCCAGGCCGCAGTCAAAAGGAGCTCTCGTGTCCAGGAAGCAGACATTGCGGCGGAAGCAGCCAGCAGCCAGCAGCCAGCAGCACCCCATGCAGCATGCAAAAGGCAGCCCAGACCAGACCAGACCAGGACTGAGCTGACTGGCTTGCTGGCTGGCTGGCTGACTGGCTGGTCGGCCATGAATGGCAAGTGGCTTTCATCTTGCGAGAAGACACCCACAGCATCAGAGCCAACAACAACAACAACAACAGCAACAATAGCAGGCTGGGCAATAAGGACAATAATCGCCTGGCAAAAGGGTCCTCGGTCAGCCTTGAATGGGTGGGAGAGAGGCGAGAAACGAGGCGACCCACAAACAACTTCCTTCTGGCCAAAAGGACTGCATCTGATTGCCTTCAGCTGGCTGACGTCCTTGCCAGCAATGCGGCTGTGGTTGAGCACAGGCTGCCTGCCTGATGTCTGTATGTGTGAGCCAGTGTGTGTGTGTGTGTGTGTGAGTCTGTCTGAAGTTAAGCACTTGCGGCTGCTTCAAGCCCAAATTCCCGGCTGCCTCTCAGACAACGAGGAGGACAACGGCAACGACAACGACGAGGACAAGGACAAGGACGTTAAGCAACGAGCAACCACTGCTGCTGCTCCTGCTCCTGCTGCTCCTGCTATCCATCTTGACAAGTGGCTTGAGCATGTGTGTGTGTGGGACCCAGCATGTGTGTATGTGTGTGTGTGTGCTTTGGCTTAAATGTTTGCGACGGACAGACTTTTGGCTCTTGGGGTTGGGTGCAAAGATGGCGACGTTTGCTCGGAGAAATTACAGATAATTTGTTAAATATGGCACACAGAGCAAGTGCAGCAAAAAGGGGGGCGTGGGACAAGTGAAAGTGCACACACAGGCGAAAGAAAAGGAGGGACAGAGAGAGAGAGAGAGAGAGAGAGAAAGCGGGAGTGAGAGAGACAGAGAAGTAGCCAGGGCTAAGCTGCCACATGCCACACCACATGCCAAAAGCAAAGTGAAGTCAACTTGAATTGAGTCCGCGTCGAGAGTCGAGACATTTTGCCAGACAACTCTAGCTGTGTGTGAGTGCCTCTATACGTGTGTGTGTGTGTGTGCGACGGCATTCCTCAAGGTTGTTGCTTGCGACATGATTTCAATTTTATTTTAGCTGCATGCCTGTGTGCGAGCGTGTGTGTGTGTGTGTGTGTATGTGTGTGTCTGTCTGTGTCTTCTATTAAAGAAATTTAACCTAGCTTGTGTGCTGCGCTCTCTGTTGCGCACACACACGCCTAGCGCCATCTCGCTCTGGCATTGGCATTGCACAGCAGGAAGCTGTTGATATGTCGTGTAATGTGGCAACATTATTTGCTTGATTGCTTTATTTTACGCAAAAGGTGTTTGTGGCTTGACACCCACACACACACACACACATATACATATACACACTCACACACATACACACACAAACGCATGCAAATTGTAGCCATGAACATCTTGTGAATGTTTTTGCTTGAGCAAATGTTTGTCGAAAATTTGTGTGTTTATTTATTGGCTCACTTATAGACTGCCAGGATGTCTCGGCCGGCACGCCCCCTTGCGCCCCCCGGCCACCGGCAGTGTGTGTGCGTCTCGTCCCTCTTGGCCAAGCACAATTTTGGGCAAATATAAATTGCAAAGAAAATATTTTGTGTAAATAGCCTTTCGATTCATCTGCAATTGCATAAGAAACTGCATTTTGAGATTTATGGCCAAAATACACTTGTGGCTTGGGCTTGGCTCGGCTTGGCTTGGCTTTCTGGTCAGCAGACACACACACACACACCCAAAGCACTTGCCACACTTGTGGCAACGTGTGAAAGTGTGAATATTCCTTAAGGATGCTTTTGCTTGCATAATTGCATGTGATTTATTGAGTTTGCCTGTAAAGACGGCTTGAGGTGAACTCAACACCCAGGCTAGACAAATACCAAATGCTAAATTCCCATCGAAAGTGAAATTCCTTACAAATCTTACTGCAATCCAGCTGCAATTCTGTTATCATCATCAATCGTGTGAGTCAAAGTTATTTAAAGTCTCTGCATAACTAAGATAAGTCAAATTAGACATGAATTGTTTGCCATTTGCTGCTTGAGCAAAGTCTTTAATTGCTGGCCAATAACAAGACGGCATTTGTTTGCAATGGAAGGGCTTTGCTTGATGGATATGTTGAGCTGATGTTTGATGCATTGCTGCTTGACTCGAAGGAGTTTTTAGCGAGGGCTTGGTTGCTTTTGCTTAAAGAGTTTTATCATGAGGAATGTAAAAAAGATTTTGATTATGTTTGAGTCTATATAATTGACGGTGCTTTCGTTCCTAATACATCTGTCATTTCATTTCCAATCTTTTGTCATAGAATTAGAAGTTAAATTAATATTGACTTAACACATAATTCAAGAAATCCAAGAAATTCAATCAAAATCTCATAATTTTAAATAAATAGTAACATGATTCATAGCAGTTTCTCCAGGGCTTCTTCATGACAATTTCCTAAGAATTATTTTTAT